CATGAGGGAGCAGAATCAGTTTAATGGCGAGGGAGCGGAGTGACCAACGCAAAGCCTTTGAGAATTTGACTCGGGTTGAAATGGGACATTCTGAGGCTACTTGAGGGGGAAATGTGTTAGCAGGCACGATTCCCCAGTGCATGTTGGATTGTTGGGGTGGCAATAGGTTGATAGGGAACACTATATTGGGTGTACCATTCCTATAGAGGTACCGGTCTTTGCCCTTGCATCTTTACTCCCTTGCACTATTTATCAATTGCAGTATAATAGAATTGTTCATGATTACTTTAGTTTAGTAAACACGTCACTATTGCAATAAATGATTTTAAACACGTTGAATAAAAATAAAAGTGATTTTATTACGGGACAGACACAACAAAATCCCAGAAAAAGACGGGAATAAAATTGTTTTAGGTGGTGTGACCCTTGACCTGTAATAGGGGACCGTCCATTCTTCAACAAGGCAGGGGTGACACGTATTCTTCCGTGCAGCGAGCTTTCGTTGCGCGCAGCGAGGTCGCCGAGGAATCTCTTTCTGTGCAGGCGTGAGGAAGCTCTTGGCAGGCACGACGCAGGTATTCGTGCGCAGACGAGGAATCTCTTTCTGTGCAGGCGTGAGGAAGCTCTTGGCAGACACGACGCAGGTATTCGTGCGCAGACGAGGAAGCTCTTTGCAGAGATGACGCAGGTATACGCGCAGTCGACGCAGGTGTGCACGAAGGCGACGCAGGTGTGCGCGCAGACGACGCAGGTGTGTCCTTGTCGGCCACGGTACTGACTAAAACAAGATCCCAGTAACAAAAGACTATAAAAGCACCTAAATACACGTAGGTAAAACGTCAAGGTTTAAACCCTTCCTGGGAGAATGCAATTGAAACCTGAGACTTTAGTCCAGGAGATGATATAGAGATTTTAATGAATCTATATGTAAAAGAAACACCGATGTATTAACATATTTACTAAAATATCGTCAAATTGCAATTGGCACAAGATTTAACAAATAAAATGATGAAGGTGTTAAATTCAAGATGTGTGTATTGGTGTCGTGTTAAAAATTAATTAAAATATTGCTATGGATGTAGAATCAACCATGTTGCCCTTGCTCTTCTGAGAGGAGTTGAAGTGGACTTGCCCAACTGTTTTGTCTGTAGACGTGTGCGGATGCGTAGGAGCTTGTAGACTATGCATGTATGATGAACCAGGTCCATTTTCACATTTTCAAATTCTTCTTTTTTGCCCTACGCAGACATCAATCAATTATGGTCATGTCACCCATGCTTTAATGGTAACATTTTTGTGTCAGGGAAAGCTCTCAATTGAACGTCTAGACCCTATATTTACTTACCATTTGGACATTTCTTTCTTTTCATAATCCCTAGGTTTGATTATTGGTCTCTGCATTATTTTTTCGCAGCTCATTATCTAATTGAGTCTGCTAGGTTGTAAAGAAAGTTCACTC